AGATGCATTAGTGGGGCATTTTAAAGGGGACCTATCATGCAAAAATGCACGTTTTGATGTCTTTTATACATAAAGATGTGTCCCCAGTGTGTCATATAACTCACGCAGCGTCAGAAAATAAAACCCTCTCTCTTTTCCTCCGTACCCAAATCTCTAAAAATGGGGGAACAACGGAGCTGATCCAGATCTGCGTCCGATATGACGTAATATCAGAAATGTGGACCCACGGCCGTATCAGAAATGTTGCTATCAGAAACAATGCCCGACTGTTTTGGACGTAATATGGTCGGTGTTTACATTAGCATCGCTAACACTCAGAGCTAACCTGTACTGGAGAGCATGTGTGTGAAGAAGCAGGAAATAAAAAGGAACTCACCTTGTGGTATAACCGGCAAGAGAGAAAGCCTTTGAGCTCCATACTGTTTCAGAAATAATCCTTGATAATCCATGATATGGCGTTTCATCACCGCAGTATTTAGTTTAGACAGTAGCTGCCGGGTCCCGCATGAGCTCAGCCCCTCCTTTTTTATCAATTTTTGTAAAGCTTTATACCCACAATCAGCACTTTTGAAACAGGAAGTGAATCAGCACTTTTGAAACAGGAAGTGAAATAGAGGGATATGAGGCATGGCTAGAATGGGTGATCTGTTTGGTATTTTGAGCAAAACACTTAGACATGTTTTTTATATATTTGTATATATTTGAGACCTATGCTATTGCCTAAAAATAGCACGATAGGTGACCTTTAAATCACGGTTTAGCATATTTATTGTAGACGTATGAGTAAGCGTTTGCATGCAGACTGTGATAATTATAATGTTGTGTTCAGAGCATCGAGGCAGAATTCTGAATATTTAACCCTGGATTTCGGCTCTAATGCAGACATGAGTCTCCTCACCGCAGCATGACCCCCCCCATCCTGATGGCTCTCTTCCAGTCCTTCAGAGTGGCTTTTCCAGAAATGTGCACAAACTGCTTGGGGCTGATCAGCTGGTCTTCATAATGGGGGGGGGGGGGGGGGAAAAGACATTTAGTCCAGTGTAGCGGATAAAACACTAGAAAAACTAAAAGCAAAATGACATACTGTACTCCTTATGTCTGATGAGGCTTTGCATTTATAAACATGCATGTTAATGTTCAAAAAGCTCTTTATTTTTCTCATACTGCCTGTGCTGCAGCACCTCTTTCCACCCTCTGTCTGAAACCAGAGCTCAGTCTGCTCTGATTGGTTAGCTGGACGGCTCTATTGTGATTGGTCAACTGCTAAGAGATGTCCCGCCCCTAAGCCTATAATGTACAATCTGTTGGAGCGCTAACTAGTAGAAACTTAAGTGTTACATATTGACTGTTACAATGGAGGCGTTTCGGGGGGGTGGGGGGGTTGTGTGTGTGTGTGTGTGTGTGTGTGTGTGTGTGTGTGTGTGTGTGTGTGTGTGTGTGTGTGTGAGAAACTCACACGGAACAGAGGGATCTTAGCCCCAAAATAACAATAGGTTGTTATAGTTTTTACAGCCACAGTAAGCACATATCCACTTGCAGTTGTAAACAGCATAATGCATTTTGAAGCTGACGTGTTTAAAGATAGCAGAAATAGGAAATGTGACGCAGTTATTCTGGGACACGAGAAGTAGTGCATGTTTATTTCCTGCTGTGTGACTATTGAGTGACCTAGTTGCCGTTCAGCTGTGTACAGTCGAGTATAGCAACTATTGTAACAGTCTTTAAATGTGTCATTGTCAAGCATTTTAGCTCAAAATTAAATATTATATAGTGGAGCTTTTGTAGACGTTTAGTGCAAAACTACTGCAATTTGCTTTAATTAAAACAATCTCAAATGTTTTTTTCCCAGATCTGATAATGTACACAAACAAACTAGCAACAGTCTGCAAGGCTCTGGAAAGGGCAGCATGCACAAAAGGAGATTTCTGATTGGAAGAAACACCTACTTTAAAACATTATGTAAGACTTGTATATAAACAGGTTTCTGGGTGTGTGCTGTTCAGATATCAGAAAGTCGACCATATCAAGAAGGAGGTTTAAGGATTGGAAAATGCTGCTGGTGGAATATTATATATATAATGGGAATAACCTATTTTGTTAACCATCTAAACAGTAAGAAGGAATATTGTCTTTCATCAGAATAAGGGCACATTTTGTGGATGTTAACGTGTTCAATGTAGACTTAAAAACTGTATAAATACTGACCTTTACACATTTAACGTTGATTCCCGGGCAAACAAACTTCTTCACCAGCAGCAAAGCTTTACAGTCTCCGCAGGTTATGGGACAGCCGATTTCAACGTCATCTCCGTCCGTTTGTTCTAAAAGAATGACACAGAACTTAAATAAATATATAAATTTTTCTAATGTAATATATGCAGTTGTTGTCTGTTCTCTTACCTTCATGTGCTTCAACCGTCATGACGGCTGCGTCTGTTTCAGCAGATTCTTCTCTGTAAAGGAAAGTGTGTTTAATGTTTCTTCTCCGTGGTACAGAGCGGTGGTTCTTGAGCCTTTTCTATCATTGAGTAAACTGACTACTTCTGACTAGGGAGAAATATAAAACTATAAAATGAAACAATAACTGCAGCAAATGTGTGAAAAATAGGCAATTTTTATACATTTTGATCTGATCAGTTCCTGTGAATATTGCTCAGAGATGAGTTTTATTGAATTACTCTTTTAGGACATTTTAATTATACATCTCTATCTGTATTATGTTTGTTGAAATAAAACTACAAAGGCTTTTTGTTTCGGAAAAATTCAATGTTTCCTTCTCCATGAGCTTTTAGCTCTTTAGACGTTTTAACTTGTTTTTAAGGAACATTTAATACAATTCACACCGTTTTCTGAAAGGAAAGGCTTTCTTGATCATATATATGCTTCTCATTTGAGAAATTAAGTGATTATTCCCTCTAACACCTGGCCATTGTTTTATTTCCCTTCGGTTGTGATAACCAAATAGTTTAGCATTAAGGCTGTGTGAATTTAGTTTAGTTCAGGTCTTCACCGTACCTCTATCCTGTGAGATTGAAAAGAAAAGCTATATATCTTGAATTCAAATTTTAAATGTTTTCTGCACAATAAGAAATCAAACCCTGAGATACAGGCCAACTGAATACATAAAGGCCTAGAGACCCCTCTTAAGCTTTGGGGACCAGAGGGTGCCGTGTGTGCATCTTATCTACTTAGGATAAGTCTCCTTTGTCCCACTGTTGTTAACCTGATGGAAGCTGATAATGTGGTATCCCTGTAGCTGTGTTTGTTGAATGATGATGTTTAAAAGTAAGTATTTCAGTCTCAGTTAGACCACCCCTGTCCTCAGTACATACCATGGATGGTATATATGAAGAGGTACATACCCGGTGGGGATGGGCTGCAGCTGGAGGATGACCTGAGTCTTGTTGGGGTCATCGGGGTCACAGTCTTCAGCCTTCACCATCACCACCTCGGCCAAGGACACCGTCACCTCTCCGGCGGTCGCCATCACGCTCAGAGCAGAGAGCACGGGGGGGCTGCTTTCATAGGACAGCTATCCAGGAGTACGTTCATCTGGAGAGAGATGAATACATTAGGAAACATGACATCAGAATCATAAACAGGTTACATAAACACAGTTAAATATGATAAATTGTAAGAAAAACGATCGATATATTGAAGAGCCCTTATCATGACCGTTATGCTTCATATCATCTTTGCACACTTGTAGTCAAGCAAAAGTAGCAATTATTCTCTTCCACTTAATGTTCTGTTTACCCACTCATGGTATAGTCATTTAGATATAACATTGGATGGTTAAATCTATACCACAGAAACACATATAAAGAAGCATAACTAGAAAACATGTAATACGAATCAGAATCATTAACAGGTTACATAAACACAGTTAAATAAGATAAACGTAAGTAAAACTACTGAAATATAATATCACAATATCGATATATTGAAGAGGCCTTATCATGATATCACTTTTTTCACATGAGAAACCATTATAGAGGCTTCATATCATCTTTGCACAAAAAAGCAGCAATTCTTCTCTTCCACTTAATGTTCTGTTTACCCACTCATGGTATAGTCATTTAGATATAACGTTGGATTAAATATATATATATAATAATCCTATTTTAAAAGTGTTTCCTAAGTATTGTGTGTCAAAATCCTAATTTATTAAGGAAATAAATATGTAGAATAATTGTTGTGGAGTAAAAAGTACAAAATAGATTTCCAAAAAGTAGAAGAGTAGACGTAAAGTAGTATAAAATGAAAGTACTCGGGTAAAGTACAAGTACCTCAAATGTACTGGAGTAAATGTACTTATAGTTTCCATACCTGGAACAGTTTGAATTAAGGCTAGCAATATTAATTATTATAAAATGTTTATTGATGTGCTTTATTTATCACAACACTATATCGACTGGTAAATAATAATAATAATAATAAGTCAGCTTTTTTATTATCCTATTTATGCTGACGTGATCTCACTGTTTTTAAACTGTTAGATTTTGAATTAAGATGTAACTGTTAGTGTATTTTACCCACGAGGGTTTGGAAACAGAAACATTTCGGGGGATGCTAACTGAAACTGACATGGAGGCAGTTAGATCACTCGGTCCCATTTTAGATAAATCCAGCATTATTTTAGCAGATAAAACACTCTTTTTGGAGGGTTATCAGGACCGAAGCCTGAATGCTGTTTAAATCTACACCCACAGAAACGCAGACATATAAAGTGGTATAACATGAAAATACTCAGGTAAAGTACAAGACTTGAGTAAATTAACCTAGTAACTTTAAACCACTGACGTCGTCACACTGATTTTAAACTGTCTGATTTTGAATTAACATGTAACGGTTAGTGTGCTTTACCCACGAACGTTGTGGAACAGAAACATGCTTTAAATGGATGTTAGTTGACATGGAGGTAAGTATATCACTCGGTCACTTTTAAGATAAATCCAGCATTATTTTAGCGGATAAAACCCTCTATATTGTCAAAGTTACGTGGGTTATCACGTTCGCTGTATGCAGTCTAATGCTGTTTAGATCCACACACACACAGAGACACTGAGGCTCGACGGTAGCCATTATGGCTCAAGCAAGGGCGTAACTATATATGTGTGAATCTGGACTAAAATCCACCAGCTATACACACCGAGACGGGTAACCACTTTGCATTTACAGTGTGACGGTTACGTGTGTGTGTGTATGAACCGTACGTCCCTTCGTAACATTTTAACTCTCCCTCAAAATGACGTCTCCCTGTGCGGCGGCACGTACAGCAAACAACGGCACGGCGGCGGCGGCGTCTCCATTCTGTGCGGCCGCTGCACCCCATGCGTAAAATACACATCACTCCGCGGCTTAAAATAGCGCCAGTGTCGTGAGATCGGCTGGTGTATTACATATAAACATGTTTAAAATAACACAGTTAAAAAAATAGCTCGTGCTTACCGTTTTATGGAGAGAAACGCAGCGCTAGATTGAGGAGAGCTGCGGCGCATGCGCAGTTCGGAGATACAGCTTGACTTCCTGCTGCACAGCGCTCGCCTTGTTATCTCGCTCCTGTAAACCCTGACTAAATGACCCTCAAACTCTTTTTACTGGGTGGTGATTTTATTTTATACAAGAGACATGGTGTTTTTTAATACCTGGTGTCCTTATAAGCTTTACTTATAAAGATATATCTATGTAGAATGTGTCTTTCTGCTTGAATTTGCATTTTAAGTTGGTCAAATTTGAATACTGAAGCATGGAGCATTGTTTTGTTTTGCTTCAAACTTCCTAAAAATTCATCCTCACGCTTTGCCAAGGTGTAACATATAGGGTTGCTTGTTAGCATGTTAATTATGATGTTAATTTTCAAGATCCATGGGCAACTTTTGCAAAATTAGAGCCCGTAGCTTTGCCTTTACACTTTCAAATGTAGAAAATGTGTTATTTTGCTCCTGTAAACCCGGACAACGTCCCACTCAAACTACTTTTATTGACTATTGACTATCTTCATTGTATACAAGAGAGATGGTATTATTTCTTACCTGAGCTTTACTAATAAAGATATATCTATGTACATTGTGTCTTTATCGTATAGTATGTGAACATTTTTAAATAATGAAGCACAGAGCATTGTTTTGTTTTGCTTTAAACTTCCTAAAAATGAATCCTAACCTTTTGGCAAGGTGTAGGGTTGCTTATTTAAATGTATATTATATTATTATGTTGTTGACATGACATTTTCTAACATCTCTGGGCCACTTTGACACAAGGATTGACTCCTATATATGGCTATATGACTGACAAATCCAATGCATGTATCTGTTTCTTGTATGAATCCATCTGCTCTGGAAAATAATTCATATTGTAAACTCTGGCTCTTTTTATTGAATAGTATCTTTATTTTGTACAAGAGAGAGAATAGTATATTACATACCGGATGTCCTTATAACCTTTACTTATAAAGATGTATTGTTGTAGAGTGTGTCTTTCTGCTTGAATCTGCATTGTCGTTGGTAAAATGTAGTGTGTGTGTGTGTGTGTGTGTGTGTGTGTGTGTGTGTGTGTGTGTGTGTGTGTGTGTGTGTGTGTGTGTGTGTGTGTGAATTCATTGCATGGTATTTTGAATACTGCAGCCCAGAGCCTTGTTTTGTTTTTCTTCCAACTTCCTAAAAATGAATCCCCCCCCCCCTTTGTGGGTCAATGTGTATGACTATGTTCATTTCAACCCTCCATGGGTCACTTTGGTACAAGGAGTGTGCATAAGAACCTTTAATTGGAGTCCTTATGTGACTCCCACACTGTCCATCTGTTCTGGAAAAGCATTAATACTGTGGCAGGATTTCTGTTGCGTTCATTCTGGAAAAAATCTGTTTACTGGAAAATGTATTGTTTTGTTTAAAGATAAGATGAAAACAAAAAGGGCTTATGTGAGCCTGAACTCAAATGAGACTTTGTTCCCCTTAAATTATAATTAATTCAACAAGGCATTTATTGTTGTTGCTGGCCCCTGGCATGTATATTATAACATTACCTTATTTCATTTTATGTTCATTTGGATATCCTTAATGCTTAATCAAGGTTCCCGCGGGGTCTTAAAAAGTCTTACATTTGATAATCAGAATTGAAGGCCTTAAAAAGTGTTAAATATGATCAAAAAAATAAGAGAGGTCTTAAAAATGTTTGGATTTGAAAGGTACTTCTGTGTTGCGGTCGCGTCTAAATGTGTTTTGGGGGAAATGTCCGGGCTGCAAAGTAACCAGTACGGTAATAGCCTTTCAGTTCCCCCCAACAATTTGTATTGAAATAAATCAACATGGAACCAGTAATCACTAACTTTGTTTCCTCCGGCCCTTTATCGGAGAACACCCTAGTAACCTAGCAACCAACCAAGCTTCGGCTAGCGGCAGTCAGAAACTCAGGTATCTTCAAAGTTCGAATCTACTTTAAAATAAATATGGGGAAGTGTAAGTTCAACCGTATTTGGTTGGAAAACATCGAATTCAGTGCTTGGTTGAAACCAGTGGAGGGGAACGTGTTTGAAGCCCGCTGCACCTTTTGCAAACAAAATTAGCGTTTGTTTAGCTAAAGCAGCGTTAGCTAGTTCAGCAGCCTGCGTCAACCTTAAAAGCGGAGGTGATGTGGACGCTAAATACCGTAGCTAAACATCAATCATACAACACCAGCATGAAGGCAACAGAGCTCTGAATATAGCTCTTGTCACTCACTCACACATACACAGAGACACACACACATACACACTTTTTGCCTAACACGCTAACACAGTTCTGTGTACCGTTATGCTGTTATGTTCAGTCATCGTTCTTATGTTGAACATGAATACATTTACTTTGTAAGTAATTATGGGACTTATTTTTTATTTCATAGCAATTTTCCTTCATACTTTCTTACCGTGAAATAGGTCTTAAATTCTATTCAAATTGGTCTTAAAAAGTCTTACATTTGAGTTGGTGAAACCTGCAGGAACCCTGTTTATGGTATTTGTTCATCTTTGTTTCTGTTGAGAAATATCACTGTTTATTTGATATACTATATATGTTGCATTAAATTAAAACTACTTAACGTTTCGATCAATTGTTGTCATTGTGGAAAGTTATAGCTGTATACATGTAGTTTAACAATAGTGCCAAACACGCCACTTAAGATAATGCGTGATGAATGGAGTCAGACATTCTCCTTTTTTATTTTTCAACATTTGATGACGGGGCGCCAGGACACGTGATCACCAGCAGCCCCTGGGTTAAAAATTGTGCTTCCGAAATCTCTTGATAGCGATTCCGCAGAAGGGTTGGTTATCCCCACCCCTCCTGTGCCAAGCACGGCAGAAGCCCTTTTTAACAATCATCTGAAACGACCCATTGATGCACCAGTAGACACATGCTCCTGACTCACGGTGCAAAGTGTGTGTTGGATGTGTGTGTGTGTGTTTCCACATTCCGTATAAATGCTTTATAGTCTGTTCAATAATAACCATGATTCATTTACATGTATGGATTGAAATATATAGGTTTAAGTCATGAATCGATGGAATTTAAGCCTGTTTGTATGTGGAGTTTGACTGCCGAAGAGCATGCTGGGTAACAAATGGGCAGGGTTTGATGAAATCCTTAGCTCTCATTTCATTGCTCTCTCTTGCTGCGTTCACTAAATGTGGGGAAATCGACGAGCACATGAACATAAGCTTTTGTAAATTATGCTGGGAGATTTTAGAAGGCATAATGACAGACGTTTTCTCTAAATGCAGCTGCGTATCAGTCTTATGTAGGTGAAACACATCAAATATAATGAAAAAGACAAACAGAATCAAGGCAGCTGACAATATAATGTCAGAATTAGCCTTCAATGGGTTTGCAATGTGTGATTTGAGTGTAGTAGGAAATATCACTCCTTTTTGTTTTGAGGGAAATGCCCAAGTTTCAAGATAAACACCTAAACAGCTTATTTGCTAATATTTATACCTATTCACAATCTAGGTCATGACAGTCTTCCACCAGCAGAGGGCGCCAAACCCCAGTAAACACACAGAGTCCAAACATTATTCATTGTACATCTATTTATTTATTTTTTTAAACCAATCAATAAAATCACGTCAAATAAAAGGTGGAACCCCTTATACATGATATATAAAATAAACAACATTATTCAGTAAAGCTCTGAAATGTGACAATGGGGGATGAAGAGCTGAACTGGGCTCTGAACGAGAAGCCCTATCAGTGATCATTTCTGCGGACAAGATAAAAAAACAAACTAGGTCTAATTCAACATTATGGGAAATGTGCTTACCTGTTTTCCTTCTGGGAGATTATGTTACATAGTATGTAGATATCTATGTGTTTAAAGTTATTTTGCTGCTGTTGTTATAGGTCAAATGTAGGTGTTGATCAATCCAAACTCAATTAAGAAACCACGCATTTTAGAAGTTGTTCGCATGTCGTCTTGCAAAAAAGCATTACTTCAGACTTTTTAACTAATCACCATCATTTCGTGGTTATATTTCGGCATACTTTTTATCCATTTAAGGCAATTCCATAACAGCGAAATCTGTTTATTTTGGGTTCATACCACTGTAATAAACCAGATTAATTCAAAAGCAAATGATCCAGCGGTCAAACTTGCTGGCTCCACTTCTCTACTTTACCTACAAAAGTGATATCAGAGAAGATAACACAAAGATATATTTCCCAAAATGTTGAAAAATACCTTCAAGATCACAGAGACTCTGGATCTGGACTGACTTCGGCCTCCTATATTATCATGGCCATTTACACAGGATGGTCACCATATGTTAGATTACAAATGCTGTTATTATTACTTTAATGAACAACTCATTGCTGGGTGTAACAGTTGATGAGAAATAAGCTTATTCTGTCCCATAAAGTCAGCCTTTCTTCGTGGTGTCTCACGGATATCCTCAAATTTACCCATTGGTTATCTTAACACTGTGCAGTGTTTAGAAATGGCAAATCATGCTCAGTTAGCTAACAGCACACACAAATGCAAACAATAGAATACAATAAACCCTGTTTTAGATGACAAGTGAGAAAGGTAGTTAGTAGTATTATTCAGACTGGTTTACAAGATGTGATGAAGTCCTCACCTGCGCCAAGAACACAAAATGTTAACATCTGATTGTCTAACCAACAAAAACAACACAATATATACGTTGTTTGAACCTGGCAATAAAGGGTGGTGGTTTATCAGGAAGCATAGAGTTTAAAAAGTAAAGGGATGTATTACTGGATCACCAGTACAGCATTTTTCAAGTTAAAGTAAAACAATGTCACATGAACGCAAAGTAAAACCTCCAGAATGCATAATCTCTTGCAGTTTACAGTGTGTGTGTGTGTGTGTGTGTGTGTGTGTGTGTGTGTGTGTGTGTGTGTGTGTGTGTGTGTGTGTGTGTGTGTGTGTGAGTTGGTGGAGTGAGGGGGTTCCCATCTAGTGTAGTCCGTGGTACTCTTTCAGCTGCTATTATCACTGTCACAAGTCTATCAATCCCAAATACTCCATGTTAAAGCT